TTTGAACCGTTGGGGATGCTGTGTTTCCATAGGGGTGGGTGTATGAAGTCCAAACTGAGGAGAGATGCTTTGATGACATTTAGAATGGTGATAGGTTATGGAAGTGTGGATCAGCTGGATTTTGTACAAATGCCACATTCTAGGCAACTGGCTGAGCTGGAAATAGAGACTTGGAAGCAACTGGTCCCAGGACTGTGTGTGACAAGCTAAGGAGGGAATGCAGGTAGACCACAGTATCCAGATGTGGGGCTCTACACGTCGGAGGAGGCAGAGGTGGGGAAGAAAAAAGTGGTCGATTCCTTCCACGCTCCCACAGTGCAAACCAACTCCAAAACGTGCCAGTAGCCAGTGATGGAGGAAGGACTCTAAGAGCAGGGGTCACGGAAGAGAAAGGTGTACTGTGAAGCAGGGATTGGGTAAGGTATGGTCACAGGAAAGGGACCATCAAATGTGGGACCATGCAGTCAACTGTGCAGGCTCATAGAGGTGGACCCCTCTGATACAGGCTGAGTAGAGACAGGTGAGTGGAGACTGAGCTTGACCCCAGGGCTTGGTGTGCGACAAGAGGTGGGGTGCATTTGCTAAGAGATGGTGTGAGGTCAAGGTCATTTTTATTGGACGGGTTTCTTGATTGTCAGTTAGTTGGTTTGTTTTGTCCATTTGTTAGGTTTCTTGATAGAGGGTTCCATGTAGCTCAGGCTAGCCACAAATGCATTATGTTGCTGGGAATGCAAGCATGCACTGCCATGCCCAGCTGTTGGATTCTTTTGGTGTTTGGCTTTTCAGAAGCAGGAGATAATAGAACACCAGAACATGTCTGTATTTTGTATGTGTACGGGTGTTTTGCCTGCATGTATGTCTGCACCATGTGCTTGCCTGATGGAGGCCAGAAGAAGACATTGAATCCCCTAGACCTGGAGTTAGAGTTGGTCGTGTGCCACTATGTGGGTGCTGGGATTCCTGGATCTGAGCCATCCCTCCAGCCCTCCTGTCTGTGTGGATGCACGTGATGTAGTTTGTGGGGAACCGATGAGGATCCTGAGACTGCCTGGGAGGAGAGAATGATAGGACATGAGCCTTTCCTGCTGTAAGACAGGGATGAGAAGCACAGGATAGGGGTGGCCCTGCACCGCAAGGCAGGGGGTGTAATAGTCTCTCCCACCTTCCCCTGGTGCTCCTGGAGGCCCCTCACTATATATCACTTGAACACGTTCTAAATTTTCAAAAAAATTTTTTATTTTTTATTTTATTTTTTACTTTTTTTTGTTTTTTTTTTTGTTTTGTTTTTCGAGACAGGGTTTCTCTGTGTATCCCTGGCTGTCCTGGAACTCACTCTGTAGCCCAGGCTGGCCTTGAACTCACAGAGATCCGCCTGCCTCTGCCTCCCAAGTGCTGGGATTAAAGGCATGCGCCACCACCACCTGGCTTCAAAATTTATAATTGTGTGTGTGTGTGTGTGTGTGTGTGTGTGTGTGTGTGTGTGTGTGTGACACGTGTGTCACAGTGCGTGTTTGGAGGTCAGAGGACAGCTTGCAGGAATTGGTTCTCTCTTTCCACCAGGTGGGTGCCAATACCTAGACTGTGGGGCAAGTGCCTTTGCCTGCTGAGTCATCTCACTGGCCCCCTAGTTTTCAGCGTTAGAGCCCAGCTGGTGACAATGTCCCCCAATGCTGAACTCTGGTGCTACACATAGGAAAGAGAGCTGCATGTGACAGTTTTTCTTGTTTCCCTAAGTCATTCTTCCTGGGTGGTCCTCTACCCTACCTGGGTGTCAGAGCAGGCCAGCAAGCTGTGTCCTTTTAAATTTTTCTTTAGGATCCAAAATAGGCCAGTCACAGATCACTAAACATTAAACTGAACACCCCTGAGCCTCATAATGCTCAGCCATGGGGAACTCACCTCGTACCCTGTGGTTGTACTGTGAGACTAAGTCCATTTCTTTCTCAGAACTGACTGCCAGGGGAAAGAATGTCTCTTTCTTAAAAATTAATGGCTTGTTTCAAATCAGAGAACAAGAATACATAACCTGCCATGCCTGCTTCCTTCACTTCTGTCTCTAGGAAATACAGAAACAATTTAGTTAATATTTAATCATCAGAGTGGCCACTGGCAAGCTCACATGTTGTCACGTGGGCCTTGTTTTTCTAGAGGCAGGTTCTCTAGATGACCCAAAGCTCCAGCGACCCTCTTCTCTCTGCCTCCCTGATGCTGGGATTACAAGGATATGCCACCAGGCCCAGATTTGTTTTATTTTGGTTTTTTGTTCTTTGAGACAGGGTTTTTCTATGCGACAGCTCTGGCTGTCCTGGAACTTGCTCCGTAGATCAGGCTGGCCTCGAACTCACAGAGATCTGCCTGCCTCTGCTTCTCTGGATTAAAGACCTGCACCACCACGACCTGGCTCAGCTGTAATTTTTTAAAACATGGGTTCTGGGATCCAATCAGCACGCCCGCATGCTGACTGCCTGCACCTTACATGCTGACTGAGCTGTCTCCACAGCCCCAATCAGTTGTTTTGATGTCCCGTTTTCCTATAGATTTGTATTGTCTGTACCTTTTCTTTCTCTCTGATCTATTTTTTTAAAGTCTAAGACATGATCTATATAGACACAGCACACACACACACACACACACACACACACACACACACACACACACACTCACACACAGGCATGCACAGGGTTTATTGTGGGTTTATTATTAAACACTACTGTACTGTCTGGTTTTATGTTAACTTGACACCAGCTAGAGTCATCTGAGAGGAGGGAGCCTCAATTGAGAAAATGACTCCATGAGATCTGACTGTAAGTTATTTACTTAATTGGTGATTGATGCAGGAGGGCCCAGCCCACTGTGGGTGGTGCCATGCCTGGGCTGGTGGTCCTGGGTTCTATAAGAAAGCAGGTTCAGCAAGCCATGGGGCAAAAGTCGGTAAGCAGCATCCTTCCATGGCCTCTGCATCAGCTCCTGCCTCCAGGTTCCTGCCCTGCTTGAGTTCCCGTCCATCACTGCTTGATGATGAACTGTTATATGAAACTGTGAGTGAAATAAACCCTTTCCTCCCCAAGTTGCTTTGGTCATGGTGTTTCATCCCAGCAATAGTCACCTAACTAAGACAAATACATATAAGTAGTTCTACACATGTGGCAAATTGTTGTCAAGTAGAAACCTGCTAGACCTTCTGCAAAGCTAATATGAGCTCTTTCTGCATTAGCATATTTAGATTTGCTTCATTTCTAGAGTGGCTACTGGTGTTTCGCTACATGGCTTAACTATAATTAATGAAATCGATCTGGGGGATTTTCAAAAATAATACCCTGCCCTCACCCCTCAATAGTGTCATCACACTGGAGGTTCAATAGTCTAGGGTGTGTCAACCAGTTCCATTTTCCAAAACTCCCCTGACAGTTCTAACCATCAGTCAAGTCAGAAGTTCCTTTAAGAAAAGGCAGGGCTGGAGAGATGGTTCAGTGGATAAGAGCACTGACTGTTCTTCCAGAGGACCTGGGTTCAATTCCCAGCATCCACATGGCAGTTAACAACTCTCTGTAACTCCAAGATCTGATACCCTTACACAGACACACATGCAGGCAAAAAACAAACAAAAAACCCACTAATACGCATAAAATAATTTTTTTTTTAAAAAAAGGGCTGTCTTTACTTTTCTTGGAGACAAGGTATAAACAAAACACTACAGAAACCTGTGTTTAAAAATATCCAGTTCTTCCATTCACAGTGGTCCTGGCCTGCTACTAGATTGCCGTGTTTCTCTGCTTAGCCCCAAGTAAAAGCAGTGCCTGTCTGTGGACAGACTGAGGGGTAGAGACTTCTCTGTAGTTTGTACATAGCAAGGCCGAGCCTTGGCTTCCAGAGAACACTGCTGTCTCCTGTATTTAGAATAAATTCAGCCTTGGTTGTCTTCCAGGAGCCAACTTGTGGCCAAACATCAGTATTTCTTCAGATTTGGAAGCAGATCGGGACTGTTCTCTTCCCAGCAGGTAAACACTTCAGATAACTAGCAGCAGTTCTTCGAAGGGATTAAAATGTGAACTTAGATCCCCACTCCCAAGCTATCTGGCAGCCAGGAAAGTATATTTATGGAGACAGAGGTTTCTGTAAATACTTTCTTCAGTGACCTGCATGGTGTGGTTGGGTCTAAGCATTTTGTGTTCAGTGAATGATACCAAATTAGGAGCTGCTACCATCCAGACAGTGAGCTAACCTCGCCAAGGCTTTTCACACTGCGGGGATACCGGGAGACTTGTGCATACACACATAAGTGAGAATGAACTTCTCAGGGCTTTGGGTGAAAACTACCCCCATGTACAGAACCAGTGAGCAGGAGAATGCTAGAAAAATGGGCTAGAGAAATGGCTTGGCAGTTAAGAGCACTTGTTCTTACAAAGCATGGGGTTTGAGTCCCAGCACCCACTTGACAACTCAAAACCATCTTTAACTCCAATTCTAGGGGATCTGATGTCTGTAATGAGTCTTACCCTGTCCCACCCGTTAGCTCCCAAATAATGACGCAGAGACTTATTAATTATAAGAGCTCAGCCTTAGCTTAGGCTTGTCCCACTAGCTCTTATAACTTAAATTAACCCATATTTTTATTAATCTATGTTCTACCACGTGGCTTTTACTGTGAGTCAGACTCCTTCTGTGTCTGCATGGTGTCTCTCATGAGCTTAGATTCATCTTGAGTTTCCTCTCTCTGCCTAGAAGTCCTGCTTATTTCTCTGCTTAGCTATTGGCCATTTAGCTCTTTATTAAACCAATCAGGAGGCGCCTTAGGCAGAGACACATCTTTACAGTGTAAATAAATATTCCACAACAAATGTCCGCTTCTGAACTCTGAGAACACCAGCATGCATGTGATACATAAACATACATGTGAACAAAACATAAAATAAAATTTAAAAATTAGAAAAAAAAATGAGAGAGAAAATGCTAGAGAAACAATGTGATGCTGGATTTCTGTTTTAATAGGATCATGCTCTGTACCCCAGCTTGGCCTTAAGTTTATGAACCAGCCTGGCCTCCACAGAGCTGGGATCTCAGGCATGGACCTCCACAAAAGGCTGATGCTGGAATGTTAATAAGGAAATGACAAGCAAAATTCCTGACTCCTTTTCCCATATACGGCATCGTCAGGGCCTCACTGGAGAACACGCCTATGCACTTCGGAGCTTTGTAATACAGGAAAACTATTCAAAAAGCTACGTATGTCCTGAAAAACATGGGTGAGTTAAGATACGGGAAGGGACGATCTCTTGGAGGAATTTTAAACTCATTGGAACTATTTAAACTGAAAAGTCTGAACCGTCTTCAGGTATTCAAGGTTAGTGGCCAAATGCTGAGTATTTTTGGCTCTCTTCTTGGAAGACACAAGTAGAAATAAAGGCAAAATATGGGAGAATTTGAATTCCCCCATCCAAGGACTGGCTTTCCTGAGGAAGATTTGAGTCCTGATGCTTTCCTATACAGCATGTGGGGGACCATAGGACATGGATGCAGCTGCTTGAGTTCAGAACTGATTTGACTGCATCTGAGGGCTGAGTTAGGTTACTTTACCACAAGTTGCCTCTGCTTTCCCATCACGGGGAGATCTCATAAGTTTGTGGGGAGGATGGTATATACAAATCTCTGACAATTGTGTGTGTGTGTGTGTGTGTGTGTGTGTGTGTGTGTGTGTGTGTGTGTGTTTTAGACAGAGTCTCTATGTAGCTGTGGCTGTCCCTGGTACTCGATATGTAGTAGACCAGGCTGACCTTGAACTTACAGAGATCTGCCTGCGTCTGCCTCCCGAGCACTAAGATTAAAGGCGCGTGCCACCACTGGCCCCTGTGGGTTATATGATCACAATGGATGGCAAAGCCTGTGGGAAAGGTCTCTAGAAGGATCCTAGAGTCTATTGACATTTAAAAGTCATCTTAAACTTAGGGTTAAGTTCAAGTTCTCATAGTGTCTCTCTGAGACATGTGACTGACATAGTATTCAGTCATAATTTCAAAACTGCATCATTTTTATCGCTTAAAAAGTTTTCTTTATTGTTGTTGTGTTTGTGTATAGGAGGATGTGGGCATGCCAGGGCATGCTTTGGGAGATCAAAGGGCAAGGTACTGCTGTGAATTGGGTCTCTCCTACTATGTGGGTCCTGGGGACTGAACCCAGGTTGTCAGGCTTAGGGGCAAGTTCTTTCTTTCATCACTCATTTTCCACATTTTATATCACAAAACTATGACTCTTGACCCCAGCCATGGCTGCCACACATAGAGCTCAGATATTCAACCGCATGGCTTCTGTTGTTGTAACTTCGGCCCAGCGGCTGCGCCTTAATCTACGGCTATTTCAGCCAGCAGTTGTGACTCCACAGCTACCTGCCTGCTTCTCTGTCCACTCTGGCCACAGCCTGGCAGGAATTCTGTTCCCACAGGCACTGGCTCTGCCACTGCCACCAAAGGCAGCTTTAATCTCTGTCATTGTATTTATAAGTAAAACTCGAGATTCAAAGGCTGGGGTGAAAACCTGCTAGCTCAGAGAGGTTGAGTAGCACCTAGCTAACCTCTCCTTGCTGGTGTCTCCCCAAGAAAGCATCTTTCTGCTCTGCCAAAAAAACAAAACAAAACAAATAAAACAAAACAAAACAAAAATGCACCACTCAAAACCCCTCCCTATGACTTCTGGTTCATCTCTCTGTCTTCTCCAGATGTCCTCTGAAGCTCTATGATCATTTTCTATCAGTTAGTTGCTAACTCAACCTCCTGATCCAAGATTAATTTTATTTAATTAATGCAAATGTGAACTCGGGATTCACAGTGTGATCAAATATCCCCCAACAGGTTTCTTTCCCAGGATTCATGTTGGCTGGAGATTTAACTCAAGACTTTGTACATGATAGGCATGTCCTTTTCCATTGAGCTACATCTCCAGCCCTTTTATTTTGTGATAAATTGCAATAAATTGATCCAGGTTGGCTTAGAACTGACTATGTAATCCAGGCCGTCTTGCATTTGGGATTTCAGGCACCATGCCCAGCAAGCACAACATCATGGATTTCAAACCTGGATGTGGCTCATAAAAGAGTATGTTTGTTGGTGCTTTGGTATTCCAGTGGTACTAACGGGTGATCTTCATAACATACTGTGAAATGCATTCACATCTGAATCTTTTGTTATTCTGAAGCCAGTGTAATTCGATTAAAATAAATAGCACTCAGCTCAGCTGTCCATCATTGAGAACCTGTGGAGGTGCTGAGAAAGATAAACAACATTTGTTCTTTGCAATTCCAGATGCAATTCCACAGCCTAAGTAACAGGAAAGAGAAGGAACAGAAGCAGTTCATTTGGCTATCCTGGGATAAACACCAGATTTCGGGGACAATCACTATGGAAGCATAGAGCTTTGCTGAGGATTTTTGCCTTGGAAATCAGCGACAGTCAACAATGCCTGACACTTCAATGAGCCTTAAAGAATGTTTGGGGAGAGGAGAGCATTTCCTGAGGCAAAGCCGAGAGGGAGGAGACTGGGATTAAGTTTCTACCAAGTCCTGGGACTGGATACTGTAGGGCTGGAGTGCAGCACAGAGAAGCAGAGGCACACGGAGAAACAGGAGCAATGTATTTGAGGAGCTGATGGCAGCGCTCTTCCAGATTCCAAAAAGCCCCATTCTGCCAGAGCTGAACTACATGGTCTTTTAAGATCTCTAGTTTATTCCACATGCGCTGGGTTGGGAAGTTATTCATGTAAGTTATGTGAATAACTCATCTATGGCCTCTCTATAGATTAGGAATACTTGCCCCAAGAATTGAGTCAGATTCCAGGCTTGGATTCAAATCCCAGATCTGCCATATGGAAGCTGCACCTTCCTAGGCAGGGCAATCGTTGGCACTCAAGTTTCCTAGCAGTTTGGTACTGCCCAGCTCAGAGAACGTGGAGCAGATGAAGAAAGGGATTGCATGTGAAAGCAGGTCACACAAGGTAAGATGGTCTAAGAGTTTTCTCCCTAGGGGGGTGGAGTGCTGGTCAACCTCTCTCTTTTCTTAGTCCTAACGACAAACCAAAGTTCGATTCCACCAAAGTTCACCCTGGGGAACCAATGAGTGTTTTAGGTTGGGTGAGAGGTTCCAGGCTGAAGTGTGTGTGACCTAAAGCAGCGGGACTGGAAAGTTTGCACCCAGTGTGGATCACAACTCTCCACTGCTCCAAAGATGGAGCCCCTTCTCCTAGCCTTCCTCAGTCTACACGCTCTAGTTCCTCTCCAAGACCCAAGTTCAACAGGGCAGACTTGCAGATGACTGGTTGGGAGGAGGGGCCAGATGCTCACGTGAGAGTCCATTGACCCTGCCCACCCTCTCCTTTTATGAGAGAATGTCAAAAGTCAGCAAGCCCAGCTGTGAAGATCTTTTACAAGCAGACACAACTGGTTTTATGACGATCCGGTAGGTGTTATGCCCTGGAGGATAGTGCTATACAACTGTCTCCATAAATGTCTGAAAAATGTGTGTGTGTGTGTGTGTGTGTGTGTGTGTGTGTGTGTGTAGGTCAGAGGTAGATGTCAACTGTGCTCTTCTATCAAATCCCTACACTATTTACTTATTTAAAATACTTTTTAAAGATTTGTTTATTTTATGCATATGAGTGTTTTGCCCGCGTGTATCTGCATGTATATGTACCACATGCATGCCTGGCGCTTGCTGAGGTCTGAAGAAGACCTTGGATCCCCAGGACATGGATTTTAAATAGTTGTGAGCCACCATGTGGATGCTGAGAACTGAACCTGGGTTCTCTGCGAGAGCAACAAGTGTTATTAGCTGCTGAATTCTCTCTCCAGCCCCCTGACACTTGTTTCTTTAGAGAGGTTCTTCTTACTGAATCTGGAAGTAGGCTGGGTTTATGTGACATGTGTGTGCTTCCGTGCCCAGCTTTTACATATATGTTGGGGGGCTCTGAACTTGGGTCTTCATGCTTGTGCTAAGGAACCTGCCTGACTCCATTTTGAAGGCAGGAGCCATTATGCTGTTTTGTTAATAATAAGTTTCCATTTACTGAGTTGCTCTGTTTCCTGGAAACTGACCTTCCCCAACCCATGACCTTGACTTGTTTTTGAGAATACTTTTACTCTCCTTGATCATCCCTGAACCTTCCGTAACCACATGGTGACCGCATAATGCTTTTCTGAGATTTTTTTCTGTATTTCCTTATTGCCCCATTGTTCCTCTTCTATAAAACTACTGTAATTTTACTCATTAAAAGGGGCCCAAGCAATGGATTCAAGCCTGCTCTCTCTCTCTTTTTTAATTAATTTATTTATTGTTATTTTATGTGCATTGGTGTTTGGCCTGCATGTATGTCTGTGGGAAGGTGTCAGATCCCCTGGAACTGGAGTTTGCTCTCTTTAACCCAACTTAGGAGGCAGTCGCTGGCCAGCTCTTGGATCCACCCCAAGAAAAAAAATCAAGCTTGCTTCAGATTTGGCTCAAATTGTGGTAGTGGTCTCATTCTCGCCATTGGCATTAACACTGCCCAACACACTGTACCCTAAGAGCCACCCTTCAGTTCCTGTTTGAAGAACTTCTGTTGTCATTGTCGTTATTATTTTCCTAAGTAGAGCTGGCCTGGAAATGTGACGTTCCAGGATGAGCATGATGCAGTACTGAAGGTATTGAGAAGCCTGGGGTTAAGCTGCACCCGTGCCTTGCAGAGATCCAGTAAGAATCTGTGTGTTGGTTCACATGTGCATCAAGACCATTTTCTAAAGGCCGTGCTGGACCGGATGTCCCCTCTGTGACAGACACAACAGAAGAAAACTCCTTCCTTAAGTCCTATCTCTAGAGACTCTGGAAATGTCACCCCAAATCATAGACGAGCACTCTAAGGAAGCTCTAGCCCCAGTTTAATTATGCTACGAATTGTCATCTAGGAAAACTCAAGATGTTCCAAACTCCTGAAAGTAGTTCAGGAAGGCAGCTGAGACCCAGGACAGTGAGGAGCAGCAGCCAGCTGAGGACGCCAGGTGTCCCTAACATCCAGGCCGGAGGCAGACAGGACCACCTTTAATTGGTATACTTGTAACTTCTACCCAGGCAGGATGTTTTTTTATCCGCACAGATGTTTCTCTAAACGATGAGTGGATTCTGTAATAAACCAGCCTCTCCTGGGGTCACAAGGAGCGGCAGCAGTGGTGCCATTGATGAGACCTGCCCTAGCCCAAGGGGACAGAGCTTACAGATGTTGCTAGGACCTCCTGGAAGTAGCAAAAGCCCCCAGCATCAGCAACAGAAGTCTCCCTCTCCCTCTCCCTCTCCCTCTCCCTCTCCCTCTCCCTCTCCCTCTCCCTCTCCCTCTCCCTCTCCCTCTCCCTCTCCTTCTCTCTCTCTCTTTCCCAGAGCTGGGCTAGGGAGAGGCAGCTGAATGAAGAATCAGTACTGTCTCATGATGCAAGGTCAAGGCTTTTGTTCCAAGCGAAGGACAGATTGCCCTTTGTCCGTCTCTAGCTAGATTATACCCAAGGCTCCCAGAGGAATAGCTGGTACCTGTCACAAGACACCACTGCCTTGTCACATGTTGTGTCCAGCTCGAGAATGAGAATGCTGACCTCTGGCCCACTCCCCGACTTCCAGTCTCTTCTTTGGGTGTCTGCTTTCGCAGATGCCAGCAATAACCTCCATGGACTAAGAATTTCATTTTCCTTTGCAACACATTTCAAGATGGTTTCGGCAAATAAAATAAAAAGTTGTGGTTTTGTTTGTTTGTTTGTTGAGACAGGGTTAGTCTGTGTAGCTTTGCACCTGTCCTGGAACTCATTCTGTAGCCCAGGCTGGCCTTAAGCTCACGGAGATCCTCCTGCCTCTGCCTCCCAAGTGCTGGGATTAAAGGCATGCGCCACCACACCCAACACCTGTTATAGGTTCTTCATCTTGTAGGAATTTGGAAACAGAACTCAGAAGGAAGCTTGAGGCCAATTTAGTTTGAAAGAAGGGCAGAGCGGGCAGCCTCAGGAATGAAGGTCTTCACCCAGCTACACTCAGGGATGGAGGGGTCTTCAGAGGGTGAACAAAAATGTCCAGTGTCAGGACAGATACACCTGAGATCTTGTTGAGTATCTAAGAGATGGAACTGCTTGTACCAACCCTCCCCAAAGTGACTAAAAGCCAGGAGGCCATGCAGAAATGGTTCTTGTGCATCCTAGCCTGGCACTGTCTGAATGCCATCAAGCCTTGGCTCCTCCTCGTGTTCCGTTTACGCTATGTCTCAGGCACAGCCATATTTCACCTCAGACTGAGGCGTTACAAATAAAGATCTGGGGAGAGGACCCAGCCTGTCCAGCGGGAATGTCGGCATTCTCTCTAAAGAGAATGTGCGCCCTTCTTCGGCTCTCAGACTGCTGAAGGAATTGATCCCAAGAAATTAGTATTTCCTTAGGAGTCTCCTGCTGGGAAAGGAAATGGCGGGAACCTTGGGGAAGCTACAAAGATTTAAAAGTCGTCAGCTGACCTTGCTGCAGAGGCTGGCATTACCTGAGAGACCTAGAATTGAGACAATGGTGGGCAAGGGACCCCACTTGGGGGCACAGATTGTTTATGCATATCTCTTTCTTTCTACTTAAACCCTACCCACAAGGGTGTGTGTGGTCCCAGCACCCAAGAGGCAGCGGTAGGAAGATCTCAGTGAGTTCCAGGCCAGCCAAGGCTACACAGTGAGACCTAACTCAAAATAAATAAATGAAAATAAATTATGTGTAAACATGACACTGTGTAAACACACATGCGTTGTTCAGTAGCCAAGCAAGGGGCTCTACGTCCTACATAATCCGTGTGCTGCGTGGTTTCCTAATTTGCGTACAGCGTGATCACGCAATCTATGCATATGCCTGGTGTAGTATGTGAGCCCATACGCGCATGTGAGGGCGGGATCCATAAAAAGTGGGTCACAGACTCCTGAGCACACCCTATCTTGTCTCCCCCTTTTCCTAATAAACTCTCATAGTGGCTTTTGGTGTGCCTTGTGACTTTTCCTTGAAGGAACAACAACTACCCTCAGGTCATTCAGGTCAGGACCCCTAAGATGGGCTTGGGGGAGTCACTAGATCTCCTTGTTTCTCTTCCCAATGTGGCCTCATTGAATAAATCTTTTTCTGTTTTTCACTATGAAAAAAAATAAAAAGGTAAAGAAGCCAATGAGCAACAACGTGATGTTGAACTCTGGCTTCGACACATGTGTACATACATGTGTACTTGTATATAAGAACACGTAGACACACAAGAAAGAGGGAGGGTGGAGGGGATGAAGAGAAGGGAAGCAGAAAGGGAAGGGAGGAATATGGGAGGGGAGGGAGGAGGGACGGAGGGAGCTAGTGTATCTGCACTTGTTTGGATACAGCTCTGTGATTAACACTGTGTGCTGAGTACTCAGGAGGGAATGGGAACGGTTGCCAGTGGGCTGCTTTGTCTCCTGCATAGAACTCAGATCCTTTTAAAAACAGCTGTATAGAAAATCAACACACAGAACAAACACAAGTAATATTAAACATTGGTTAGTTTCCTGACCTATGCTAGGTGTTAGGTTATTTTAGAAAGCGCGCGCACACACACACAAATGTATATACATATTCGTGTACATGTATATAAGAACATGTAGACACATAAGAAAAAGAAGGAAGGAGGGAGAGAGGAGGGGATGAAGAGAAGGGAAGCAGAAAGGAAAGGGAAGTGTATATATATGTGTGTGTGTGTGTGTGTGTGTGTGTGTGTGAGAGAGAGAGAGAGAGAGAGAGAGAGAGAGAGAGAGAGAGAGAGAGAGAGCAGAAAGAAGACTTGGTCTGACCACACTTATTCGAGATGATGGGGCATCCTTGTCATCCATGTGTGCAGATGGCCAAAATGCCTAGAGAGGAAGATGGGATATGGATAGCTCCTTATAGTCCACAAGGGAAGCTGGGAAATGTAGTCTTTGTGTGTGTGTGTGTGTATGTGTGTGTGTGTGTGTGTGTGTGGTTAGGAGACACATGTCAAGGGTTGGTTCTCTCCTGCCACCTTGTAGGACCTGAGAACTGAACTCAGATGTGAGACCTCTAGCACCTACCCATTGAGCCATCTATCTTTTCTACTCTTATTTTTTATAATATTTTTTAAAATTTTATGTGTATGGGCATTTTGTCTACATGCCTGTCTGTGTACCATGTGCATGCCTGGTTCCCTCACAGCCCAGAAAAGGGCGTCAAATCTCCTGGAATTGGAGTCATGGTTGGGAGTCAAACATGGGTCCTCTGGAAGAACATTCAGTTGCTGGGGTCTTGTATAATATTAGAGGGACCAGCCTTAATATTCTACATCCCAGGGGCTCGGGAGAGAGAACTATAAACGGCGAGGACTATTTTCGGGAAATAGAAGCTCAGCACACAGAGCTCTTAGTCCAGTCATTTATTCTTCCAAATCATCTCCTTCCCCGTCCCGTGCCCTGGAAGTCCCGGTATATATACACTTACAAGCAGTAATCCCTTGGCAGTGCAAAGCCAGGCTTCCAGGGTCAAATGGAGGGGTGATAAGAATCACATAGAGGGGCAGTAATTGTTAATTATCATTTGCAACCCCAAAGGGAAGTGACCAATGGGGAAATGAATTAATGAAAGGCTAAATTTGGGTAATATCTAAGAAGAGGGATCTTATGTGCTCCAATATAGTCTTAAAGGTGATTGGTAGAAAATGTTGAGAATCTGTAAGTTGCTAGGTCAATGGGAGAAAGTAAAACTGTCTTCTTTTTTCCCGTGGCTCCTATCTGTTCAAGCTATCTGTCATTTTTCTACAGGATGGGGGAAAGTGTGCTTGGTTGCTCGGCAACTTGTGTACAGCTAGATGCCTCTGGTGATAGTTGAAGGGAGATCTGAAACTAGAGGTAAGATTTGGGAGAGGAGGAAGTTAAGCTTAATTGGCACATCCACCAGACCTTCTCAAACAGGTAGCCTGGATGCTTAAGTCTGTTCTTAGAGAGTACAGAGGTTTCTCTGATAATGTACTTTCCTCCATCTGGCCGGATGCTGCCAATGACAATAATTACAGGGAGGCTTGAATTGGGGTTCTGGTGTGCATAGCTGTCAGTGCACAAGGTTATCTAAATATTCCTTTAGTAGAGGGGAAATGGTGCCCAATAAATGATGGAAAAGCTGCAATAGCACATAAGAAACTCACAGCAGGAAACGGCTGATAATCAAAAGCCAAATATCATTAAGTCTCCTTGAGCCTCAGCTTGACCTCTGGAAGGCCTTTGGCTTCTTCAAGGTATTAGCTTTGTCATAATCAGCTGAAATCCTACTTTGTATATTTTTGTGGCTTGTAGCACTGGGGGATGTCTTTCTGTATGCTGTGAATATATGTTGTTCTCATTGGTTAATAAATAATCTGCTTAGGCCTATGGCAAGGCAGCTTAGAGGCAGGCAGGAAATCCAAGGAGAGAGACAGGAAAGAGAAAGGCGGAGTCTGGAGAGAAGCCAGCCTGCCACCCAAGGAACAATATGCCAGCAGACTGGTAAAGCCACGGAACATGTGGCAAAACATAGATTAATAGAAATGGGTTAATTTAAGATATAAGAGCTAGCTAGCAAGAGGCTTGCCATAGGCCATACAGTTTGTAAGTAATATTAAGCCTCTGAGTGATTATAAGTGGTTGCAGGACTGTGGGACTGGGCAAGATCAGAGAAAACTTTTGACTACATCCAGTATTCTTAAATCTCTCTCCATCTATCTATCTATCTATCTATCTATCTATCTATCTATCATCTATCTATCAATCATGTATCTATCTATCATTTATCTATCTATCTATTTGAAACAGAGTTTCCTGTAGCTCAGGGTGACCCTCACTATGTAGCCAAGGATGCCCTTGAATTCCTGCTTCCACCTACTGAGTGCTGGGATTACAAGCCTGTTTGAGCAGGCCCGTCTTTTGGAGTATGGGGGATCGAATCCCCAGGGTTTCCTGTGCTCTACCAACTGAGCTCCACCCCCAGGTACTTCAAATGCATTCAATTCGACTCCACAGCACTCTGAAAAGAAGTAAAGACCATTCAATTTTACAAATAGAGAAACTGAATGCTGGAGAGACTGACAAAGGCCACAGCCAGCTAGTAGTAGAGTCGGGTTTTAAATATGAATTTGGGCACACCCAGAGTCCGTACTCCAGTCAGCAAATCACTGACTGGGTAAATGCACCTGCCACTGAGCCTGCCAACCTGAGTTAATGCCTGAGACAGACATGGTGGAAGGAGAGAACCAGCGTCTGCAAGCTGTCCTCTGACCCCCACACATGCGCCTCCTCCTCCACCACACACACAAACAACCCCCTTAAAC